TAAATGGATCTATAACAATATCAAATCTACATCTATATATATATATATATTTTATAGGCTTTAAGCAAAGACAACCAGTTCCGAAAGTTAAAGTTAACTAGTTAATTCGATATATAATATATTCATATATACATGAGTATATGTATATATTTTAAATAGAATCATTTATATAGATATTCTTACATATGTATATGTTGATATATAGATACATTTACATGTATCTATGACTACATACATATGTTTCGGCTATTGCAAAAACTGCAGCTATTTCAGATTTCTGTGCATTACAATTCCAAATTTGCATTTGCTGTGTGGATTTTGTTGTTGCAGCTGCAGTTGTTGCTGTTGTTGTTGTTGTTGTTGTCAGTTGTCAGTTGTTGTTGCAGCTGTTTCTAAGCCAACCATAGGGCCAGGCACTGCCCCCTACTATGCAAACAAACAGACTACCGCTACGCCAGTTCCCCTTCCTTTTCAGCCCTCTTCTCGTGCTGCCCCTTAGAGCTGCTCTATGGATTCGATCCATGGCCCTGATCTGTGCTTTATGCAATCGCCAGCGGGTCGTAGTTCGAGCACACACACAAAACTACAATGGGGCCGAAATGCGAGCAGTGGCATATCATCGCATAGATTACGCAACTATGGCATACAACAACAACAGCCACCCGAACCACCCACACTGTGTGGCCTGTGACCGCACCACCCGCGCCACCCTTGACCCTAGCCTCTTCACTCACTCGCGACACATTTGAACTACTCCAAAAAAGCAAAAAGGGACAACGACCAGCGCCACGCAACCAGCCAACATTCCACACTCTACACGCGCAGCACCACCACCCACCAAAACCCACTCAAGCAGAGCCGAATAAACCACCTACCAACCGAACACCCACACACCCATCTCAAACAGCTGCAATGCTGTTCGCGTCGCAATTGCCGTAGGCCTTTGTCGGATGCTGTTCAACCAAACCACCCAACCACCCACCCATCCAACTCCAGCCACAGCAGCAGCAGCCTCCCAAATCCCGTTGGTATTGCAAGCTGCTTCGTTTTCGGCACCGACCGAAGTCCCGAGTCCCGGATATTATATGCATACTTGAACTATGCGAGGAAGGAAGCGAGTCAGATGCCACCCAACTACTGCCACGCCCCCGACGCCACCAACGCCCACCCATCCACCCATCCACCCACATAGCTTGTTTTGTATATGTATCTGTATCTGTGTCTCTCCAGCTGTATCCGTTTTTGCATGCGACTGTAGCTGTATACATTTATATATATACGTATATCTATATATATTTGTGTGTGTGTGTGTGTGTGTGTGTGGGTGAGTGCTTTATGTACACATGTACACAGCTGTACCCGGCCATAGTATAACAGTATGTGTGTGTGTGTGCGTGTGTTGTCCGTGTTTTGGGCCACTTTACAGCCACAGAGCCACCCACTAAACAACAATGCAAAAACGTCTGCATTTCAACTAACACACAAACAACAACAATAACAACAACAACAACGACGACAACCCTTAGGGCGCAGCCACCCCCAACCGCTGGGCATAGTTTGCTGCCGAAAAATGTTGATACATAAGCATTCACTGCTGCTGCTGCTGCTGCTGCTGCTGCACCCCAAGCCTTAGCTTAGAAAAATCAATACAACATTTTACAACACTTTTCTTTTATATAAACCAACAAATTAAAGTAAATTTATGTATGTACACATATATATACATATATACATATTTGTATGCGTATAATATGAATTCTATTCATGTCTTTTAATCGATTTTTTTCCACCAACACGCGACAGCAGCCAAAAGTAAAGGTCCCCAACACCCCCAAGCCATAAGCCCCAAGCCCATTCCCATTCCCATTCCGAGCTCCAACTCAGCCACAGCCAAGTCGCATGCTGACTCGCTCGCACACACACACAAACAGCAGCAGCAGCAGTCGCAGCCACAGCCACAGCAGCGCCCGCTCTTTCTCTCTTTCGTTCTGCGCCTTGCCAGAGTTAAGCGAAGCGACAAAAAAAAAAGCCATAAAAAACACAACGCAGCAAGAAAAAACAAAAAAGAGTCAACAATATATTCAGCCTTTGGCAGCACTGTGTATGACCATACACTGACCCTTTGCCGCTGCACTGCTGCAATGCTGCAGCAACTTTGCCCTTTGCTCTGGCCCGATCGTGACTGAGCGATGTTGACACTTGTTATCGATAAACAAAAAAATACAAAAACAACAAAAATGTCTGAACGAAACACAAACGATTGGCGTGCAATTAAGTTCAAGTTGGCACCAAACGTGAGGAACTCTTAGTAATCACACACACACACACACACATAGCAAGAGGTAGCGAGAGCGACAGAACGAGAGCGCGAAGAGAGAGTGACCACTAAATCTCTGTTGCTGCCCGGGGGCTATCTGTTATAAAGGCGCGCTCTCTCTCTCTCTCTCTCTCTCTTGCTCTCGCTCTCACTCTAACGCTTGCGAACGTAATCACTAAATGGGATCGCAATGATTTTGTGTTGCTGTTTCTCCCGTTTGTGCTTTTGTTTTAGTTGTCAACAATGTTTGGCGCTTAGGCTTAGCCGCATACAAGTACATGCAATATACATACATATATAAATATATACGTATATTTGTATGGGTGGTTGTGTTTGTAACTCAACGAAGCATCGTTGCATGCAACTATTGAAGCATGAGCATGCAATTTATGTACTCACACACACATACACACATATATATAAAACTATGAAATACAACATCACTGAGCGACTGTACTTTTGATATAAAATCCACTCAACTCACATAGAAATGCAAACATACATAGGCATACACACACACATACACACATAGATATATGTATGTATGGCATATGCACTAAAATACCATTTCTACCCCAACCACCGACACCCCCACTCGACGCCCACAGGCACTACTACTCTGTGTTTAGTTTTAGTTGCGCTTTAAACTACATTTGGTTCTTCTGCTTCTTCTTTTGGGTTTTGTTATTGCTGTAAGCCTCTGCATATAGAGAGCTTAGGTATGTACGTTTGTGTATGCCTATGTGATTTATCGTATGTTCGTATGTGTGTGTCTGATATTTCAACAATTCGTTTGCATTTGCAGCTAAAGAAATAAAAAAATAAGTAAAACAGGTGCAGGCGACTGTTCAATGCTCTATGAAAAAATAATTAAGGAAAAAAGAAGCGCTAACAATTTAAACTGTATTACATTTCTTTCTTATCTATAAACATTTCTGAGATAGTAGTTAAACTTTATGAGAAATGTATACCAAGATATATCTACATCTGCTCCATCCAATAAGCGGAGCTGTAATGCAAATTTTGAATAGTTGGGTCACAGGAAAAGAAAATCCATCATAACCCAAATAGGAAAATCATTGCATTAAGTCTGCCTTCTGTCATGTGTGAGTGTATGTAGAGGAGGGTGGGCAAACAGGTGCCGTTTCACTTGCACACACAAACTGAACGATGAAAATTTCGACTGCCAGCCCCGTTCCAAATATTCAATACTAACTCTCACACATACAGGCATACACGGATACAACGCACGATACTGATACCAATACACACTGGCACACACACACACAGCTCAACGCAGCGACTAGAAAATGCGGGTCTGGGTCGTCATCGAGACGAGACGGCGAGAATGCAAGCACATAAAGAACGCCAAAAATAAGTTTAAAACTAACGACAGTCTGGTGCGTGTGTGAGCAGCCAGCATAGCCCAACAGCCAAGTGTGAGTGAGCGAGCAAGTAGAATTCGCTTGTATGCGTGTGTGTGTGTATGTGTGTGCGTATTTTGGAGCATGCAACTTTTCGTGCTATTGCCAAATGCGTTCGTTGGCTCAAGAGGGAAAGAGATATAGTGAAGTGAGAGAGAGAGAGCAAACGAGCGAACGAGAGTGAGCATGCGAGTGGAAGGGGCCAAGGTAGTTGTAGAGTAGTGCGAGAGAGTGAGTGAGGCTGGACGAACAAGTGCATGCGTGCGTATTTAAATGTGTGCGCCGCTACTGTGTATATGTGAGAAGGGTCACTTAACGAAACTTGCTAGTGTACGAAACCAATGCAATCAACTGATTAACGGTGTTTCTCTTGTAGTGTTTGTTGTTTGCAAATGAATGTTCATTAACACAATACTCAAAGCAACACAGCGAATGCTCATTCATAATGACAGCAATACACGCCACTAAAATATCCTAAAAAGAACCAACCCAGCACATAAACAAGCGAAGTGAAACAGACACACATACACCCACATTAGCCTGAGGTATGGCAACCGCAAATGTGTATATAGATAACGGCGCAACCCCGTTGCCTAAACATAAAAACGTAGCCAAACGACAAACTGAAAATATAAGAAACAAAAAAAAAAAAAAAAAAAATAGCAGCAGCAGATAATAAAAGCAAGCGCCTAAGCATGGCGTCACTGAGCCGGCCACACGCCTAACAACAACAACGCCTACCCTACCGGAAAAAAAACACGGTAAAAGCTGTAAAAATTGTCAATATAGAAAAAAAGAGACGAAAAAAGTCAACGCTAACAACAGCTTGCAAAATAATGTGCGCGAGTGTCGAAGAAGCCGCTGACATCGCGTTAGCGTCAACGTCAACGACGACGACGACGTCAGCAGCAGCAAAGCAGAGGTAGCGACGTAGAGTTTTTTTTAACGAGCGTATTGACAAGCGCACACTAGTACGAAAACTCAACACACACACTCGCACACATACATAAATACATATAACGACATGCACACGCGACGCAGACGCCGGCCGCAGCCGTGGCAGCAGCAGCAGACCAGACCGGTTGAGGTTAAATTGGATAGGGGAAGCAGATGCGATGGATAAGATGTAGGGCGGGGAGAACTGGCTGGCAAGGCATACATATTGAATTTTTCTTCGACGTAATGAAAATTTTTAGCGTGTTCTTGGGATGATTATGCTGTGGTGCTTTGTTTTTTTTTTTTTTTTTTTTTTAACTTACCGCGGAAAGAGCAAAAATGAGTAGAAAATCCGTTAAGCTGCTGCTTATTGTTGTTGTTGTTGTTGTGGGCGCTGCTTCGGAGACGCTGGCGTCCAGCCTCTTGGAATTTATAATAATTTTCCAAACTCTCACGCACACACACACAACTCACACTCACACACTTAACCACACACACCGATAAAGTGCACGATAAATTTCATTAATTTTTCTGCCTTGAGAAATTTCACTTTTTTCTTGTGGTTGCGTTTGGTAATTTGCTTATTTACTTGTGTACATATATATGTATCTAGATATATATATATATTATATTCGCTTGCTTATTTACACATACATATGCTTGTACATATATATTTACGCGTGTAGACTGTGCGCCTTTAACACTAATACACTTGCAGAACGCGCTGATACTGCTGCGTCGTCGCTGGTCGTTCTGCTTCTTGGCTGCCTTCTACGGCTTTCCAAAAATTTACTTTTTTCTTCAAATTATTACACGCACACAAATGGTGCTAATAAATTTTATGTTAAATATTGCACTTTTGTTTATTTGCTTATTGAATTTAATTACTATTTGATTTGTTTACTACAGCTCTCTCTCACTCACTAAATAAACATGCATATTTAATTATATACATACAAACACGAAGCAGAGGAGGGGAAGCGAAACCGTTGCAATAATAATTACACCTGTAACACAATCGCGAGTAGCACAATTTTTTTTTATCAGCTTTGTTTGTAAACAAATAACAAAGTCGTAATTGTAAAATAATTAAACGGTGCTTTTATCCGCTAACGTTTCAGCGCGTCCTACCCGCTCGATGTTGTTTTTGTAAATGTTGCTTATACATTTAAAATAAACGCAATAGTGTGACCGTTAACGTGTAAAACAAAAAATACCAAACGTTCGGCAAAAGCGGAGGCGGACGCGTTTTCAGTACATCGCAATAGTATCGATACTTAATTTGACCATACTTTCAACATGCATGTTAAGCGTGGAGTAACAAGCGCTGTAAAATGTAAATATGCTAATAACTGATTGATTTATTTAATTTAAACTCCGTTATGAAAAATATAATTATGAAAATATTGCTTATTTTGATTATGTATAATATTAATATGTTAATATCAAATGAGTGTTAAACTTGGCTATGCAATATTAACAGCTCAACAACTTATTAACTTACATTATGCTAAATCATATGTTCTCAACCAGCGAGTAGATCATTCGTTCAGTTTTGCCGAACTGGAACTGGTTTACTTTATCGATATCGACATGGCTATTCAACAAATATAAACGTTAATGCTTGTCAAGCTATAAAAAAGATCTTTATATATATATATATGGTAAATATTAAGCTTTGCTCAATTGTGCCAAATGCTCTAAATATGCTTTACGGCTATCCATATTATCGGCGGGCCGATTGTGTGGAGCCCAAACTGGCTCGCCAACAAAGTATCTTTGCGCTTTTATATAGTTCTGTGGATAAGCAATGGTGAGAGATTGTCTTGATAGATTTATATGAACTATGTGTACCTTGCTGTCCAGTGTAAAACGGTGATAAATGCCAGCAGGTATTATAATCAAATCGCCCTTGATTACCTCTATGCGCAACCAGTTGTCTTCGCCACTGAAAATTAAAGTAAATTAGCTTCTTTCTAAATGGCTTATAGTGGCAACACTGTGTGTTTGTTTACTTACTCGCGCACATCAAAGTAGCCGGAACCATCAATAACCAATCGAATCTCCTCATCCGTGTGCAAGTGTTCCGTGTAGAAAGCCTTTAGCTTGTTTAGGTAATCAGGCAGGCATTGTTCGGAACAAGTGATCTGCAGTAATCAAAATGCCATGAGAACTGTAGTGTGAGAAATTTCATCGCACTTTTGCTAATGTATACCTGATCCTCGTAAGTATAGTCGCGCTTCCTGCGCAGCTCTTTTAGCACTTCGTCGTTCTCATAGTCGTCCGCATTGATCTACAAGTGAACTCGGAAATAAGAGATAAGCGCGACTTTTTCAAGGTCATTGCTGGGCTTTATTGATTGAGTCTACCTTAAAGTACTCCACGCCTGTTTTCTTGTAGAGTGTCTCCAAATCTACATAGGTGACTGGCTCGCGCTTGTGCTCTAGTCGCTGATCGCTATCATCACTGTCCATATACCACACCTGCACCATTATAATTAAAAAGATTTCTCGGAGCTTCAACGCCTTAGCTGAAAGTTCGTTCAAGCGATTTAAGGGAACTAAATGAATGAGCTGACTCGCACTGAACTCGATGAATATAAAAAATTATTCTTTTCGCTCGATAGATTATTGCAGCTTCGCTCGCAAAAGAACTACTCAACGTCAAGACTATCGTTCATTGATATTTAAATTGGAATGAAATTCGAATTATTGACACTTAATTCTAAGTACATTACTTTAATTTTTACTTAAATCAATTACAGGTTTCTATTTTTAATAATTAAAAAAAAAAAAGCAAAAATAAAATAGATGGGAATCTAACCAATTTTTCTGTAATCGAATGCGATTTAAATTGAATCTAGTCTCCTTAACTGTCAAACTGAATCTCGACGGCGTTGCCATATTTGTCGAAAAACAATATGTTTATTTTTTTGGGTAGATTCTAACAAAATTAATAATAACTAAATTTTTGGATTTTTTTCTTGGAAATTTACCGTGTTTCGCCCGCTCTTAAAGATGAATTCAATTCGCTTGGTTCGCACTCTTACAAAATGTATGTCAGTGCGCCCGTACAGCATGGCTCCGTGCGAGATCTTGGAGCTGCTTGAGGCGGGCTATCAGAAGTTGGCTGATTCCGACTCCAAATCCCTGTTGAAGAAGCATTTGACCAAGCCAATATTTGACAAGCTGAAGACTAAGGTGACGCCCTCGTACTGCTCGACACTCTTGGATTGCATACAGTCCGGCTTGTGTAATCTCGATTCCAATGTGGGCATCTATGCGCCCGATCCGGAGGCCTATCAAACGTTTGCTGAAATCTTCGATCCGATCATCAACGACTATCACAAAGGATTCGGCAAGGGCGCCAAGCATCCAGCTTCCTGTTTTGGATATGGTGCGGACTTCCCCGATCTCGATCCGGAGCAAAAGTTCATTTTGTCCACACGTGTGCGCTGCGGACGCTCCATACAAGATTTCCCGTTCAATCCGTGCTTGAGCGAGGACGACTACCGCAAGCTGGAGTGCATGATTACGAAGGTATTGAGTACTCTGTGCAATGAGCACGCCGGGAAGTATTATCCGTTAGCCGGCATGGAGAAGGATGTCCAGCAGAAACTGATCGATAAACACTATCTGTTCAAAGAGGGCGATCGATTCCTACAGGCAGCAAATGCCTCGCGGTTCTGGCCGACGGGGCGTGGCATCTTCATCAATCGGGCCCGAACGTTTTTGGTGTGGGTCAACGAGGAGGATCACATAAGGATTATCTCAATGGAGAGAGGCGGCGATCTGGGTCGCGTCTACGAGAGGATGATCATCGGCCTCGAGTCTCTGGCTTATTCACTCAAGTTCAGCAGCGACAGTCGTCTGGGTAACCTGACCTTCTGTCCTACCAATCTGGGCACCACGATTCGCGCGTCGGTGCACATAAAGCTGCCACATCTGGGCAAGGACAGGGCCAAGCTGGAGGAAATGGCCAAGAAGCATAATCTACAGGTGCGTGGCACCTCCGGCGAGCACACGGAGGCCAAGGATGGCGTCTACGACATCTCCAACACTCGGCGCATGGGACTTACCGAATACCAAGCTGTCGGAGAAATGCATAAGGGCATCTCCGCCCTGATCGAAGCCGAGTGCCAGGAGTGCTGTAAGAAATAGGAATTCTAAAATGCATACTGTTTCATTTGGTTCCCATTCTCATTCATTTATCTCTGCCTGTCGATCGAGCGATCAATCAGTTAATCGATCGATAAATGTATTCAGCTGGATCAGTTTACAGGACGTTAAATATGTTCGATCTAAGCGTACATTTCAAAGGTAAACAGATTAGAATAAAACATAATTTATTTAAGTTTACATATTTAGATAGTAGATCTAATGGTTTTTCTGCCCTCAAATACAGCTATATTTACTGAAGTTATATATGTATGTGTATATGTCTGTTGCGCCTTCTCTTTTCCTCTTCCAGCCGGGCGGCGTTTTGGGGGCTCTGTAGGCAGTTTTCTCCTTATAGACGGGGTGGGCAACCAGCTTATTGGACTCCCTCCTTCTACTTTTTCCCTCTTATTTTGGGCTGTCTACTCTTCTAGTTTTTTCTACTAAAGCACACAAATTTTCATCAAGAGTTAATATGAGGGATTATTATAATCTCGCATATTAAATCTAGATCTAGATCGGGTCTAGACAATCCACAAATATTTATGTATAATATGTATTGTCTATATTCCAATGCCTTTCTTTCCCTTCCATTCAAAACAAATTCTTTTTTTTTTTGTGTTTTTTTTTATTATTTGTTTTTTATAATTTTAATTCTTTTATAAACTTAAGACTTAAAATAAAAGTATTTAAAGTTTTTATGTTGTTGTTTTTTTTTTGCTTGACACAAATGCCAAAATGTTTTACATTCATTTTTCATTAGATTTCTCTTTAAGCAAATATTTTTGTTGTTAATTAGTTGTCCATTGTTGTTGTTGTTGTTGTCTGTGGGGTTTTGGTGTTGTTGTTGTTGATTGTGGTTGGTGGTTGGGCGGGCATGCCACGGCCGTTTATGACCGCGACGCTCAAAGTAGACGAATGAAATGCCGAGTGCCGCAGGCAACCGAACGATCGGGCATACCCGTTACACAAATACCCTACGCAAATTCTACGACAAAACTAAAGCAAACGCAGCAGCTGGCAATGAGTCTTTCCAATAATGGAAATCACACTCCAGGCGGCAGATAAACAACAAATGAACTCCATTCAGATGTTAAAGCGGGGAAAGTTTGACCCTTCCCCAAATGGAGTTCAATTGGTTTTTGTTTTGTTTATTTTTTAAGGGATTAGAGAGTTAGCTGCTTACAAGCTCTTCTCGAGCTTGATCAACTCGGTGATGCCATCGTACATCTCCTTGACGGCCTGGTATTCGGTGAGACCCATGCGACGCTTGTTGGAGATGTCATAGACACCGCCCTCGGCTTCGGTGTGCTCACCGCGAGTGCCGCGCACCTGGAGATTGTATTTGGCAGCGACTTCCTCGAGCTTGGCCTTGTTGGAGGCCAGCTTGGGCACCTTGATGTGCACGGAGGCACGGATGGTGGTGCCCAAGTTGGTGGGGCAGAAGGTCAAGAAGCCAAGACGGTCATCGTGACTGAATGGGATGCGCTTCTCGATCTCATTGACGGCGGTCACCAGGCGACGGTAGATCTCGCCCAGATCGCCACCCTGCTGCATGGAGATGATGCGCAAATGATCCTCCTCATTGCACCAGACCAGGAATCGCTTGTTGTCGTTGTGGTAGATGCCACGACCCGTGGGCCAGAAGCGGCAGGCATTGGCAGCCTGGAGGAAGCGATCGCCCTCCTTGAACAGGAAGTGATCGTCGATCAGCTGCTGCTGGACGGCCTTCTCCATGCCAGTCAATGGATAGAACTTGCCCTTTAGCTCACCCTCCAAGCTGGACAGAGTGCTGCTGACCTTCTCTTCCATCTCCTTGTACTGGGCCTCGGTCAAGCAAGGGTTGAAGGGATAGCCCTGCATCGAGCGACCGCAACGGACACGAGTCGAGATCACATACTCGTTGGTGGGATCGACATTGCCGAAGCTGTTCACATCACCGAAGTCCGATGCGGGATGCTTATCGGTCTTCTTGAAGCCACCATGGTAGTCCTCAATGATGGGATCGAACAGATCGGCGAACACTGTGTAGGCCTCAGCATCGGGGGCATAGATGCCAACGCCAGAGTCGTGGTTCTCCAAACCGGACTGGATCACATCCAGAAGAGTCGACTTGAAGGTCGGTGTCACCTTGTTCTTCAGGTTGTCGAAGACCTCCTTGGTCAGGTATTTCTTCAACAGCGACTTCGAGTCAGAGGCAGCCAACTTGGCATAACCCTCCTCCAGTTTAGCGAGAACAGCAGCGTCAACCATGGTGTCTTGTTTGCTACAAGAATGAGAAGAGTTAAAGGAAAATAGAGTTAGTTAAGAGTTACTTCTGGGAATCAGCAATCACTTTAAAATTAAACTTAACTTTACTTTATCCTCTAGATCTTAGCCATATTTAGATTTTCTTGGTCTCAATACACTTAAAGTACCATCAGGATCAGACTTTAATATCATATAGGATATTAATATATTATATATATTGGTCTGAAAAGATCCTATTGATCGTGGTCTATGATCGATGGATATATCAACGATAATCCATATGTAATTTTCGCATATTAAAGTCAGATATTTTAAGATATTTTCTTTATCAGTTTAGTAGTAAAACTTATTTGTAAATAAATAAGGCATATAGAAAAATATATAATATATATAAACATATTGTTTATGACTAAATTTAAGTGTTCAGCTCCTTCTACCTCTAGGACATATTTCCTATTTCCCCCATCTATCTATCTAGATCTACATATCAATCAATCAAACTAATTGCTCAATATTTCCAACGATTTGGAAAACATTTATTTGCTCAGCTCATTTCGTTTGCTTTTGGTTTTGAGGCTCTGTCAATTCTGGCGCCCAAAAGTCGGCAATGTTTTCGCCCATGTTTTTTCATCCATTTAGTTGGGAATCTCTAGAGACACGCGACAGCGCAATTTCAAATAGAGCCCATTAAAAAAAAAAATAAGAAGCGAGCTGCCTCAAATATTTCGGGGTTGCTACGCCAAATCGTGGCTGAGTGAGGGCTGTTGTTGCTGTTGCTGTTTCTGCTGCTGCTTCAGTTAACTGAATGACTGAAATGTTTTTGCCGGCTGTCGCTGAATACGCATACCGAGTGTAGATAGGACAGGAGAGAGAGAGCGAGAGAGAGCGCGTGAGAGTACATAGCATGCAGCCTTTATATATAGCGTATGCTGCCCCGCCCTGCCCCCGTTTCGTGCGGCACATGCGCGCCTCTTGTCTGCCCGGTCCCGGATTTCGTGGCCTGGGCCCCGGTCAAAAACAAAAAAAAAAAAAAAAAGGACCAGGGCAATAATATTTTTATGCCCACTTTAGTATTCTTTCTATTTTTCTACTTTTGTTCTCTTCTCTTTTTTGGACACCCTGACGTCAGCGCCAGCAGCAGCAGCAGCAGTGCCAAGCACACGCACTTAGAGGACCTATGACAAGCCCCAAAAAGCGGCGTACAAACTATTGTCTATGCTATGTACATATTATCTATATATATAGAAGAGGTGGGACTAAATAATTGGTGACTTGGCAAAACAAAAAAAGAATTTTAGCTTATTATAAAATCAGTATTTTTATACTCTATAAATTTGTCTATTTTAAGTTTTTACTTTTATACTTTTCAAACTACCCTCGTATAATATACATATTCCTCATTTAAGTTTAATATATAAACAAAATATATTTCAGCAATTTATATAAACTATTTTTCTCCCATTTTTCCAGCTTCACTTTGATTTCTTTCCCAAACTCTATTTCGACATTCTTGAAACCACCCTCGTATATCACATATGTCTGCTGCATCTGCAAACATCAACTGGCATATGCCTAAATTATATTATCCATATTTATTAAGGTTTAATTTTTCCATTTATCTTGCGGCTTCTTCAGCATTCTTCAGCTTGCCAACTCTTGTTGCCACCCTCGCATATATAAATATACACACCCATCTTGGCCAGCGGCTGGCGTTGTGGCCGTGCCGTTGGGCTCGCCTCCGTTGGCTGTGGCGCCGGCATCGCCTTCGATCACCTTTTCCTTTTTATCCTTTGAAGCGCACAAACCCATTTTTTTTTTTAGTTTTTAGTTTTTAGTTTTAAGATTTAAGTTGTAAGTTTTAGTAAAAGTTCTCTTAAGATTTTCGTTGATTTGTTGTTTTTGTAAAGATTGGTTTTTGTAGTAAAAATTTGGCCTTGGTCAAAAAGTTTATCTTTTTTTATGTTGGTGTGTGTAAAAAGTTGTTGTCTTTGATTTTGTTTTTGTGGGACTCTTTGCAGGTAAAATGAAATCACAATGCAGCTGCTTCAATTACTTTACACACATTTAAAGACATACATATATGTATATATAAATCAGACACGCACACACACACACAAACAAGTACACACACGCACACACTCGCTTAATTCGTATTGCTTTTTGATTGATTAGAAATATTTTTGGTGGTTCGCTCGTCTTAGAGATGCTCTGAAAAGTTGTCAAAAAGTTGTCTTCTTGGGGTCTATCCTCTGGTCTGGTTTTCGTTTCGTTTTTGTTGTCGGTTGTTGTTGTTGGTTGCCGCGCCCAAAGGTATACTACAAAAAGGCTACTACACAAGAGTCTAGGCTACACACTAGGGAGCAAAAAAGGACGCGCGCGCGTGTGCTACACAAAGGTGCTAAGGAGCAAACTGCCAGCTGCTGACTAAAGGACGCGCCGCACAGCGAGCCACCAAAATCGCGTTCGATGATGCGGGCTTCGGCTTCGGCTGCGGCTTCAGCTTCAGCGTCGGCTTTAGCTTCGCTTAGACTCGTTCGCTAGCTCTCTCTCTTTCTCTCTCTCGCTCTGCCGTAGCTTGGCAATTCGCAACTAGCTAAAGGACGCGCCCACCCGGGACCAACTCGCAATTCAGCACGAGAGTCAGACAGCAAGAGCGAGAGCACGACAGGGAGAGAGAGAGAAGCGCGCGCGAGGGTTGCCCGGCGAGGGTTGAAAAAGTCTGCAGAAAGCATTGCCTAGCCGCAGGCGCCGGCGGCATGCAAATATACATGTGTATATGTAAAAGTGCGCAGCAGTATTTGACTAGCAAATACCCTCCCTAACCACTATGCAAGTAGTGTAATAGTAGTACAGTAGTACAAGTCAGTTAGTATAGTATAATAGTAGTACAGTAGTACAAGTCAGTTAGTATAGTATAGCAGTAGTACAAGTCAGTTAGTATAGTATAATAGTAGTACAGTAGTACAGCAGTAGTACAAGTCAGTTAGTATAGTATAATAGTAGTACAGTAGTACAGCAGTAGTACAAGTCAGTTAGCATAGTATAATAGTAGCTAGTATAGTATAACAGTACTAATCAGGTAGTATACAGTAGTACAAGTCAGTTAGTATAGTATAATAGTAGACAGTAGTACAGTTAATAATAGTTAACATAGTATAATAGTAATATAGTTAATATAGTATAATAGTAGTACAGTAGTACAGCAGTAGTACAAGTCAGTTAGTATAGTATAATAGTAGACAGTAGTACAGTTAATAATAGTTAACATAGTATAATAGTAATATAGTTAATATAGTATAATAGTAGTACAGTAGTACAGCAGTAGTATAAGTCAGTTAGTATAGTATAATACCAGTACAGTAGTTTAGCAGTAGTATAGTATAATAGTGGCACAGCACAGCATAGTATAACTGTATAGATTGGTAGTGCAGGTTACTATATTTACAAGTAATATTGCAGTGTAAGTGGTTTACAATAGAGTAGTTGACAATATTACGATATAGTCTACCGGTATAATACTGTTCTCCTGTTTAGTAGTTTAAAAAAAAAAAAAAATAAAAAAATAATATAAAATATGCAAACTAAAATAGTAGTAGAAATAGTAGTAGTAGTATTAAAATTAGAATAGGAGTAGTAGTAGGAGTAGGAGAAGTAGTAGTAATACAGTAATTTGAGAACACAGTAATTGTAGAGCAGTAGCAACGTAATAGAAGTAGAAGTAGTATACTAGTAGAAGATTACTCGAAAAAGTAGTAGAAATAGTAGTACTAGTTACTACTACTAGGACAATTATTAGTAGCACAGTTGTAGAAGTCGTCGCAGTACATCAGTAGTATGGTACGTAGTACAGTTGGTAGTAGTCCAGTTAAGCAGCAGTAACAGCTCATATAACAGTTCACATAGATAGATTCAGTTAAGCATCCCAAATTAGTATTTAGAGATATACCCTATAATCTCTGCCCACCCAGCATACCCTTTATCGGATATATTTGCAGCAATGGGGGTATCAAAACTGTTGCCGGATGAGAGCGCAACATAATGCGGAAGGATATATTTATTTGATGCAGCAACCACCACCAGCTGCAGCACCAACAACAGCAGCGGCAGCGTGTGGCAAGCAGGGCGCAAATCGATAAAATTTGTGACACGCGGCAGCTGAAAATTGTTGCGCCTAAAAGGCACAAAGGGGGAGGCAGGGAGAGAGAGAGAGTGAGAGAGAGACAAAGAGTGGGGGCGAGTGGCGGTCAAGTCAAGTTGAAGTGACGGTTCGAGTGTGAAATGAGGGCTGCTAATGGCAGCATGCGGCATGTGGCATGTGGCATAGAAATCACGGCCAACAAGCGAAGTAGAAGAAGAAGAAGAAGAGGCAGCGCATAAACTCGTCGAGTGCACGTGCATTCGGCTCTAGCTGAAGGAGTTGCAAGCTTTTTGAGTTACTTTTCACGCCTGTGCAGTGGCGTGTAAAGAGAGGGGGGCGTGGCAGAGGCATGTTGCATGCTGCTGCATGTCTGGTACCATATTATTTGATTTCGTTTTCTATTTATTTATTTTTTCGCTAAACATGAAGTTTGTTTTGCTCATTCGCCTCGAATTTTATTAGTCAGCACTGCATTGATTCTCCCTCTCTCTCTGGCTCTAGTGACTAATTGCATTTCCCACTCTCTCTCTCTCTCACACTCTGACTTCAATGACTAATTCGCAAAGCTGCACACCTAATGATGGTAAATTGAAAACAATTTATGTTACATTCATTCACACAAATATGACTAAGATCTCATATATTATAGAGCTGCTCGATTAGCTAGAGTATCTGGATGCTTATAAATATTTTACATAAGACTTGAGCTAGTTCATATACAGCTTATCTCGAAGTGAACAGAAACTTTCGGCACTTCATATAACAGACGTTATCTGTCGAGTTCTAGCTATTAGCTAGAATAAAAAACTTGCTAAAAGGTAGATTATCTTGCGAACTATACGTATACAGTGCATACTCGCTAAGTGAAATTGCAAATAGATAGTCTAGCAGGCTTTAGTTACGCTCTACTGTAAGCATTATACTGTTGATAGTATCTAAGATCTTAAAAAATTGATTAACTTTAGATATTCTGGGTATATAAATATAAATATATATTTATATTTTCTTATGTATATATAAATCTATATATGATATTGCTAGTCAAAGTCTGCTCCAAACGTTTATTCCAGTGGTTTCTATTCATCTCATTTGTTTTGCATTTTCTTATAATTTGTTATGAAAGTTTGTTCAGAAAGGCTTTTTCTTTTACATATACATATAAGATGTATCTATATCTTTCTGTAGAATTGTCTCTCATTTTCTTATCAACTTTCCTTTTATACTTTCTTATAGGGATAGCTAACATCGCTTTTATCAAAACTCTAGCAAACTGATCTCTCTATGATATAGATAAAACTTATCTATATAAGATACATATATCTATTGTTTTATTGCATATCTATCATTTCATAAGCAAACCAAGTCTACGTTTCTTTCACTCTTTCTTCATTCAAAGTCATTTCTAGTTCAATTGCTTAGTTTGTCACACTAATTGGGAATTTTTCTTAGCTCTGGCTATCTTTGAGAAGTTATATGATGAGAGAGGTGTTCCATGTTAATAGTGCCCCATAAAGATAAGCTGATTTATTTAACTTTTATATTTTGCACTAGTTTCGAGATTGTGGGCGTTTCAAAGTGCTTGGCGAGTGCAATTGCTGTAGATAGAGCTGATATAATAGCTCCGAAAGGCGAACCCCGCCTTCCTCTCAGGCTGCTGACGACAGACCAACTAATCAATTAACTCGAGTGTGTACCAAATTTATGTCACACACACACACACACACTCACTATACATACAGTCATACACTCATACAGTGAAGAGCCTAGTCCAAGTCCTCGCCTTCTCTTGGCCGTGACAACAAAATGCGGCACTTAAAAGCAACGGCAAATCGAATTAAGCCCCAACAATTGAAAACTGATTTCATTAGCCGCCATTCTGCCCCACCCCATCCCATCCCCCACTCTGCTATATAGACAAGCCACAGCCCCGGGAGCGCGCAACGTGACAACCCTGACAACGGCAACAAAAGGAACGCAAACAGGATGCAGCTTTAAATTCAATTTTTTAAGCACAGCTAAGCAAATTGTTGACGGTTTTTTATACACTTTTATATACAGTGAGCACCCGCTTGAGCGTATTGAGTTTCAAGAATTATTATAGAATTTTTGCCTTAAGCATTTGTGGAATTTCTAAATAATATTTTTTAATTAAATTTATTATTTTTTCAAATTTGTAGCTTTTTTAAGTTCATATGAATTTTATTTTTATACAAAATTATTTTTTTTTTTAAAGTCATTTATTATTATTAGGTAATTTTTATTATTAAATTTTCTTCCTTTTTTATTTTATTAATTTTTTTTTTTTAATTTTAAATATAATTTTTTTTTTAAGACTCAATTTAATTTAATTTGAAATTATTTTTTCTATTATTTATTTAAGCAATCTAGAATAAAGATTTTGTCTATGTCAAGCGAGTTTTCACTACAAATATTATATATCATCTATTTAATTTATGGCTCAGGCTCTACTTTATAACCCGTTATTACGAATGACGCGAACGAGAGCGCGTTAAATAAACGCGAATTGAAATTGGCAACTGTTAACGGTTAACTGTGATACGCGAATGTTGAATGAAGTTAACAAATGCCTCACAGCAAACGCAGGCAGAGAAATAGCGAGAGAAAGACAGCCAAGAGAGAAGGACAGAGAAAGAGAGAGGGACAGAGAAAGAGAGAGGGAGCGACAGAGAGAGAGAGAGAGAGAGCCAGAGAATGTGTGCAAGGGAGAGTTGGCCAAGTCAGCTGATAAGCTAACAGAGATTGCCGACTGCAGTTGCCGGCGTCGAAGCTCGAAAGCGAAACGTAGCGAAAAGTTGATCTCGCAGCAAACAGCTGACGAGGCGGATAAGATAGTCCACTTTGGGCCAACTCAGCTCTATTGGCTAAAGGCTAGACAGACAGCCTAGACGGGCGGCAAGCAAGGGAGTGAGAGTGATCGACTAGCAGATACCCTGTAGACAGCCATCGTTGCAGATGACAGATTCAAAATAACTTTCTACTGTTATCTAGCAAAAATGCGGAATTTCTTACGGGGAAATTCATAAGGGGAATAAAGTGTGTGTGGGAGAAAAATGGGAAAGCGAGATTTATTATAGAGCATAAATAATTGTTGATTTTTTGGGGCTGATTTTGTGGAATATATATTCTTTTATGATAAGGAAAATATAGCAACTATAAAAAAAAGGAAATATCTTTTAAAATGAAGTTACCCCTTGAGCCACTTCCAAGAAATACAGGGTATAACGAAAGCGAAAGCCTGGCCAAGAATCGCATTTGACTGGCAGCCAAAATGCAATGACTTACTGCAATTTCCCAGTTTATGGCCAAATCGCATGGGTTATTGAACCAAAGACTCGAAACTCGACGGGGGTATTTGCCTGTCATCCGTCACCCCCTCCCTGTCCCTCTCTAAAAGTCCATGTGTGTGTGACTTAATTGCAAAACGGGGAACCATGCTGCGCTTAACGCGATTGCACAAAGAAATTGGCAGGCGATGCAGACAAGTGCGCCAAGTGTATTTGGCCAACGACATTGACGTGGCCCAAAACAAAACGTGCGCGAATGTAACGGGAAATTGCTATTGCTATTGCAATTGCCATTGGAAAACAAGTCGCAAATCGAAACAGTTTAATGACAAGCGGCAGACATAGAGCTATGGCTTAATACGATTGGGAAATGTTGCAAATGTTGCGTTATTTTATTCATGGAGAAATTAATGTTAATAAATAATGGGAAAAGCTTAATATAGTTTATCCAATGGTATATCTATAGATATATATAGTTGGGAATCATGCCAAATGTTGAGGTATTTTCTTTAGTTTTTAAATAAATAATGGGAAATTATACGAGTAACTGGGAAATAGGACAAATGCTGCTACTTTATATATAGAAAGCTTTTTAAAAATACAAATATATATATATATATATATTTTTTTTTTAGAATTTCTTAATAAATACAGAAAATTATAGGATTTTTTACGTATTTATTATCATTTAAATCGTATTGGAAATTGTTCATTCAAAAAAGGATACTTTGCAAGCAGTTTTCCATAGCTATGCGAAAATATCCATTGAAAATTCACTTAGCGTCAAGAATTTTGCCACTTAATTAGCTCTGAAAATGTTAACTGATCGCCCTCATGCCTCATCAAACACTTAAGTCTACCCTCTATCAAGTATTTAGTAACCACCCTAAAATATTAAGGCTCAGCCAGCAACAAGCAATAAATACCCTATACTTGTAAGGGGGAGCAGTAAGAGGGCTGCAGCATACCCGCATTATTCAAGAGTTGAAAGAATAAATTAATATATATTTGATGAATTTTGTTGCTAATTTAATTAAAATTCTTTTGGCAAAGGCTCAATAAGGCAGAGCGAAAGAGCGGGTTATATACTATATATGCTTATGTTTCATTTTGTGTCATAAATTTCGCAAGAATTTTTGCGCTTATTGCCCGGATGTCGTTGATTTATAAAATGTCTGCGAAGACAATCAGCGTACAAATGGGACAGACGCGACAGTCATTTAGCTGCAGCAGCAGCAGCAACAGCAACAGTATACTGTATCATTTTATGTTATATAACTGCAACAGTGGGCTCTAACTTTACAGTAACTGTTAAGAACAACTGCAGTCGCGAGGCAGGCACACTTTTTCAGCTGCTACTGTAACTGTTGAACGTAACTGCAAACGTTGATGTTATTTAACAGCCCTGTTAAAAGCCCGTTACAGCTTTGATAAGACTGAAAGCTACAAGAAAGTCCTGTGCGCGCGCGATAAAAGCTTGCACCGCAGCTTTGCTGCTACAGTAGCAGGCCAATATATTGTGCTAGCTGCTCGTGATTTGTTTACACATTGTGACTGAAATTACAAAAGTTTGTTTATTTGTTTTGAGGTTCGCTGCCAAAGCAACACAGACAGAAACACACACCCGCACATTCATATATGTGGATTCGTCTAGCTGGCAGTTTTTTTTGTTGCTGTGCCTGTGTTGGTGGGAATGAGAGGCAACTAGTCGTGCAATTTAATTTCCTGTCTAGCCGAAGCTCCAAACCCAACCCCTATATTTTTTTTGGGATTATGCAACTCTTGACAGTTAGTTAGCAACTGGAGCGCGCTTTTGTTTACTCTTTAATACAGAAAAGCGTGAAAATTGCCGTCAGAGGTTTTCCAATGCAAACGTTGTTTAAGCTATTGCTTCTCTATCACTCCCTCTCTCTCTTTTTCTCTCGACCGCTTTAATAGATTTCAATTGAATAATTAACGGTTGGCTCAGCAATTTGTATAACAAATTTGCGCGATTCGCTGTTAGGGAAAAAATAAACTATATATAAAAATAAAATAAACAATAAAATCAAATAAACAACTCAGCTTTTTCCCTAAACAATTTCGATTCTATTTTTTGTAGCTCTCAACTGGATAATATATCGCGGCTATAAATATATGCGCAGGTATTGATTCATATATACCGCATGTATACATATATAATACTTATGTATGTATATATATGCTTTGATTATGTTTATTTGCTTTGGTCCCGTATTTTTAGCCGCAACTCGACTTTTAGCTGCTTACTAAATTTAGCCAGGGGCTGGGGTGCAAGTAATTTACGCTGCCTGTCAAACTGTAGAGCTTATATAACGCAAAGCTGGATGCTAGCTAATGTTCAGCTGATACAATATCTTTGGCCATTACTGTAGGTGTGGGTGTCGATGGCTATCTGTGTGAGTGTGTGTGTGTGTGTCTGCCTATGCGATAAGTGATTATGCAATGCGCTTTGGCAATGACCGCGAAATACCTATATATCTTTGTTGTTTCGTAGTAGCAAGTTCAAGGCTTATTTGTAATACAGTTTGCCAGCTAAGGGCGGTGGGCGTGGCGGGCGGCGAAGACTGCCAAGTGTCGCTAATGCTGATTGCACACATTTTTAACTTTTTTTCTATTTTTTTTTGGTAATAACTATTGCTAAAGCTCTTATCTTTTGGCACCAGTCGTAATTAGTGTTTTTTTTTCTTGTTATCGTTGATAGATAGTGGTATATTTTTTGTATTGTTTGTATATTGTGTTCAGCAACGAAATTGCAAGCGCGCTCAACAGTTGCACAGCAGCTGCCTAAAGGCTGGCCACAAAGCCCTGCTAGCTCTGCCCTTAGGGCAAAAACCAGTTTTATTTTTTTCCCATTTCGCAACTGCAAAAGCGGCTGGAAGACAGAGCCGAGAATAAAAATATGGATACACCGCCATAAAACGTTGCATCTATATTGAGAAATAATTTTTGTTTGTATTTTTTAATTTTTATGCCGGTAACCGGTTTCGTTGCGCTTTTGGCACATGCAAAATATAATAAAAGCTGGCAAACTGCACTTTCGACTGACCGCAAAAGTAATTAAGAGTTGGGTGACACATCCTATTGCATAAACGTTCAGATCTCACAACACTTAAAATAATTTTATTTTATTTTATGATTATTATATATTAACTATGTATATCTATAATAATTTTATATCACTTGATTGTCTTTATGGTATTAGATTATTCTTTTTTTCTTTGGAGAACGGCTCACCTTTGCAACCGTAGAATTCAACGTCCAACGTTACAATGATCAGAAAATTTTGTTCTTTAGCTCAGCTGCAGTCGACTGTCAGTATGACCGCGACGCCGGCAGCAGCAGCGCTAGCAGAGGCAGCAACGACAGCGGCACCCTTCTTCTTTCTTTCACTTTCAAACTATTCAACTCACACACACAGTCAGATGTGAGCGCAGGCAGCGAGAAAGAGAGACGAGCAAAAAAGCTTTGCTTTGGCATTTCAACTGTGCTCATGTGTATGCGTGTGTGCGTGAGGCCTGCCTCCTGTTACGTTGTCTGAATGCTGTTGCCTGCTGTTGCTGCCACTGTGCGCCTGTATTAGTGGCCTAGCAATTGACGTAGGACGTGACGTATGACAAAATGAAAAAACAAAATAAAGCTTTGCGTTTTATTCATAAAATGCGAGCGAGAAAGAGAAGTGATATGGCTAGAAAGCTTTAGCCGGCAGCAAGTGTAAGCAGTACGGCCAATCGCTTTACCTTGTTGTGCAGTGTAAGTGTATGCGAAAAAGGAAAGTGTTTGCAACAATGCAACTGTGTACGAGTGGGTGCGGATATGTGGCGAAGGCAGCAGAGACCGAACGAGAGAG